CGTCGTGATTGGAATCCACTCTAACCCTCCGGAGGGAGAACCATTACTACAACCCAACTAACAACTTAACTAAAAACTAAGGCATTTAAAGATACGGAAGCAGGTTTAAATGACAATAAAAATGGAGTTCCTATAAACTCCAAAGGTGTAAACAATTAACTAACCAAACTAATGCGGAAATTCAACCCCTAGAACCTGAAAGTCAATGTACCAAAATTCTACGAACGACAAGTCTAACAACAAGGGGTACAACCTCGAAACTAAACAAACACCGTTAACAAATAGTCTGAATCCGAATAGAGTGACTTAAACAAGAAAGATCCATGGCAGCCTGAAAGAACTGGCTCACCCTTGAATCCGGTCACACTCAATAGTCACCTAGCTGAGGTCTATCAATAGTTGCCTGAAGATGCCATGTACTCAACAAAGAACAAGCAAGTGCAGTATCAGTATACAACCACAATGTACATGTAGGATCATACGACAATCCCAATAAGTGAAACATATGCAAGTAACCACAACATTATAAAACATGCTTATACCAAACATTTACAATATTAGTCATCTTTTCAGTATCAGTGTAGCATTCCACTTTCTCAATAATACACATTGGTTATCATTTTAGAGCAACAAACAGTCTTTCAACCTCAATCACCATTAGATATGAATGTAATCAACACAAGTAGATACACAACACAATTCAATGGTCCTCTCATGAAACCCAATTCAATAGTCCTCTCATGAAACCCAAACCCAAACTTTAGTGTACCGGTTCGTGGTTCACGATCCAATGTTTTTGCTGGAACGTGGCAATCGATCTCATATTTATGCTGGAACGTGGCAACTGATACCATATTTATGTCGGAACGTGGCAATCGATCCCATATTTATGCTGGAACGTGGCAACCAATCCAAGTTAGTGTGTCAGAACGTAACACCCGATCCATTTAAAAAACCACAATCACAATCACAATGTATATTCTCATAATCATATAACAAGAGGTGATTCATGACATTTAATTATACAATTATCCTCATTCACGATTAGTGTGATCAATAATGCAACATTCACATACATACACACATACATTATAATGAAGCAAGTACAAACATATATCACACAACATGAACACAACCATCACCTACCTCGAATCTAAGCTTGAATACCCTAAGACACTTGAATCTTTCCTTTCAAGATTATTTCCGCTAGTTCTAGGTCTACAAACAATTAATATAAGCAAGGATCAACAATCAAAGATCTAATTATCCGGATTATAACAAACCCAATAACCCTAGACCAAACCCAAGATCCTACTACCCAGATTAGGGCTTTTTCCACCATAATTTCCATATCAAAACCCTCTCCCATCGATAATCAACCACGAATTTACATTCTACGGATTGAAAAATGGATTCGGGGAGTTAAAACCTTACCTTTAGCCTCAAGAATGGTGGAAAACTGCCAAGAAAGCATCTGGGGTCATCTCCTAGCTTTCAAAGTCGAAACTTGCAGAATAAAACAATTTTGGGGTTTATTTCTGACTTAAATCGCGATTGTCCCTCTATGACGGCCCCTAGCCCGCCACAACGGCTTGCACAGAAACATAATGTCGAATTAAGATCTCCAAACCGCTATTTCACAACACATATTCATCCCACGACACTAAGAAAATACTTCACGCTAAGATCAATTTTGAAATTTCTACTCGCCCGAATTCAATTCTGTAAAGTCGTACGGGTTCCTTAACGTCTTCACTATCCACTCACGCAATCAATTTCATTATTATACTTCTCATTCATTACCATATTTCCCTATACTCGCGAGACTCCGATTTCGTCCAAATATGGACTAGGCTAGGAAATTTCAAGTTACTACTCAAAAAAAAATTTGGTTCAATTCTTTTCCCATTGGATTTTCCCTAACGACGGAAATCAGATCGTTACAGATTCATATTAAGCTAGAGTATGGCCCCAAGTGAAATCATATTTGGGTGAAGTTTCACCATGTGTTTGGCCCCAATTTTTTTTAAAAATATTTGACTATTTACAAAAAATATGATTTATACCTATAAGTTCTACATATTATTAAATAAAAATACCCATAAATTTTTATTATCATTTTATAATGAATATGTTCCGTTAAAAATAACCTTATAATATGATTGATAACATTTAAGAATAAAAAATAAGAATATAGGCAAGACAATACATTAATGACATACTCAAACTTGTCACTGATTCAGTTATAATTATAACCAATTAAACACAAATTGTTTCATTCTCTCAATTTTATCACTCAAATTAGAACTCAAAACTTTTGCGGAGGAAATAGTAACAAATATTAGTTGAAATTAATAAATAATGGATATTTTTATATATATAAAATAAAAAACTTTAAGGTAATTTTTTATTTTTTAAATTTTTTTGAAATATTAGGACTTGGCCCAAATAATGAAAATTCTAGCATTTGAAAACTTGGGATACTTGACAAATATATATGTCAAGTTATATGATCAAACGCCACTTTCCTAATTTTTCCCAAATATTTTTAGGGCCAAACGAGTCCTAAGTTTTGGCTTTAAATTACTGATTGTATTGAGTCGCACTTTATTTTTATATCTATGTTCAGCCAAATTCAACAACTCCAATTTAAACCCTGTATTTATGTCAAGAAATCTACAAAACATTCAAAATAAAATATTTAATTCAAATTCAGTTACTAACACATGTCATTTTTTTTTATATAATCTACTACTCATAAAATCCCATCAAAAATTAAAACGAGAAATGTAACTTAAACCGTTTTCTAATATAGAAATACGTTATTTCATTTTTTTAAAAATAAATAAAAATTAAATCACATAAAATGCATAAAAGAGAGTATAATTTTTAAACCTCATCATCATCATACGCTTAAAATAAAAATACATGTGAAACGTTCCAATTTCCACACAAAATTACTAAAAAATATTATTTTAAATTGTCCGTATATATGTCTTTAATTAAAAAAATAAAATTTGTCGGTATATATATTTATCACAACAGGTTATATTCATGCATACTCAAACTATTTATTTTGTTTAATTTTTTTTATACAATTTTAATCTATCTAAAAAAAAAAATACAACTTTGAAAGCTATTTAATCTTATGCTCTCATTTTATTTAGAGAAACGTTATAGAATTTTATAATATATAAATACATCATTATTCGTTTTTAAATAGAACAAAAAAAAACAGAAAAATCACATAAGTTGCAAAAGTGTAAATAGAATTTTTAAACCTCACCATTTTCACTCGTTTAAAGTGAAAATACACATAAAACACTTGATATTTTTTAAACAATGAAATGATAATTATAAATTATATCATTATCACTCGTTTAAAATAAAAATACATGTAAAACGGTAAATATAGTCAGTGAAAATGAATAATTATAGTTGTATCATTATCACACGTTTAAAATGAAAATACACGTAACCAATGAAAATAATAATTATAAATTGTATCATTATCACTCGTTTAAAAGGAAAATACACATAAAACGGTCGACATAATCAATGAAAACGATAATTATAAATTGTATCATCAACGCTTTAAAAACGCTCGATATAATCAATGAAAATGATAATTATAAATTGTATCATTGTCACTCATTTAAAATTAAATACACGTAAAATACTCTATTTAATCATTGAAAACAATAAGTATAAATTATATCATTATCACTTATTTAAAATGAAAATACATGTAAAACGCTCGATATAATTTTAAATGTTTGTATAACGATGATTTTAAATGTTTGTACAAATATTCATCACATTCATGCCTACTCAGCAACTTGACCCAAAATCTAGTGGGATGAAGTTCAATTTATGATTTTGAACCTATTATTTAATTTTTGTTGACATACAATAAATATAAAATTAAAGCTATTTTGACTGAAAATGCTCAAAATTAAATTAAATTAAATTATTTCAAACACACTCATAAAATGTTATGGAATAGAAGAAATTAATAATAAAGTGAAAATTAATTATGTAAAAATCTGTTACTTAATTGGTCAAAGAGCTGAGTTATTGGCATTGACCGACATATTTTAACCGGGCCGGGTATCCTGGGCCTCACGTGACCGGCCACACGTACTTCGAGAAAAATACAATTAGGTGCTGATTCAGCACCGTTAGAAATTAACTCTCATTGGACCAACGCCGTTAAGGGGGCCCATATACCCCACGTGTTATAATAACTAACGGTGTTAAAGATGTGGCGAATCGTGGTTTAGTTACCGTCGATGTTACCGGAATCTTTGGTTACTAGCCGGTGACTGAGATATTTTTACAGAATCTGATGAGTATGAATGTATTAATATGTATTTTTCCTTTTTAGAAAAAGTTAATTATGGAATAAATACAAATGAAGAAAATATAATTAAAAGTTGGTGTGCTTGTAATTAATTTTCTAATTTCGGCTTGTTGGATCCTATATAAAACAGCAATTGATTCAAGCCAGTTTCAAACACAAACTTTGTCTCTCTAAAATCTCCACACTCATGTTTCTCTCACTTAATAATCAGCATCTCACTGTTTTTCACCATTCAAAAAGGACTAAAAACATCATCACCTTATTCAACCATTTGGATTCATTACTGTTTTTTCTCTCTCTTATAAACTCTTTGCTACTTTCTCTATTTTTGTAGTTCGATTTCTTTATTTAATCGTCTCAGGCTTTGTTGTTCTCCGTGTGTGGGACTGACTGTGGGTGTGTTTCTCCTTTTATAATCTCATCTTTTAATGTTTTGGGTCATTTTTTTGTCAGTGAATCATCGTGTTTTAAGCTTCTCTTTGACGGTTCCATTGCTCGGTCTCATCTTTTAAGAGTGCTACTTTTAGTGGTGTCACTCTCAAAAGCAATCCTCCTTTACCTTTCTTGGCTCTTTTTTCTCCATTCTTTCTAATCGGTTTGGCTTAGCAGTGAAAAATAGCTAATTCAGGTTTATTCGATGGATCATCATATGTTGTGTCCGATAAAATACACCGAGCACCGGAATGTTATCAGGAAAGTTACTAAACCATCTTTGGTGAAATCTAAAAAATTCCCAGAAGCCACTAAATCCTCTCAGTTCAATCCCTCTGTTCCGAGGACTGTTCGGATTTCTGTGACAGACCCAGACGCAACGGATTCTTCAAGTGATGAAGAAGACATGCTTTTTGGACGGCGACGGGTGAAAAAATACATCAATGAAATCAGTATTGAAACCGCCGTCAAGTGTGAAGTTAGCATTCCTAACAGTGGCAATGGCAAAACGGTGAATAAAAGAGCACCGGAGCCTCTTCAGACTAAGCAGAAGCCAATGAAAGTTCAGCCTCCTCAATCGGCTGGCGCTGTTAGGAAGTTCCGCGGTGTGCGTCAACGGCCGTGGGGAAAATGGGCCGCTGAGATCAGGGACCCGGCTCGCCGTGTTCGGCTTTGGTTGGGAACTTACGACACTGCTGAAGAAGCTGCTATGGTTTATGACAACGCTGCTATTAAGCTTCGTGGACCAGATGCTTTAACAAACTTCAGCACTCCTCCCAAGCCTGAGCCAGAACCAGAACCAAAGTCAGAGCCGGAAATCAGTGTTCTGTCTCACTCAGGCTATGAATCCGGGAATGAGTCCCGTAACATCCCTTCTCCGACTTCTGTTTTGCGGTTTAGAATGAGCCAGTCAGAAAGTGGGTCCGACCCGATCCATGTTTCGGAAGAGTGTCCATCGATTCAAGGATCGATGGAATGTGAGCAAACGGTTCAAGAGATTGAACCGTTTGTTCAATGTGCTGCTGAACCGCAGTTGGAATTAGAGGTTCAGCAGGATGTTGAGGAGTGTCAGGGCGAGACCAGCATGATTCCTGATTACTTGCCAACAGATATTCCATTCTTAAATGATTTTTTCAATTTCGATGGTTCAGCAGCTGAGCAGACGTTATTTGAAGACTCAACTATAACATCAGTAACATCAACAACAACGACACCAAATTGTCCCAATGATTTTGGCTCATTGTACAACGATTCATTGGATTTCGGGAATGATTTCTTGTTTAACGATGCTGACTTCGCTGAATTCAGCAATTTTGATGATTTGGGTGATTTAGGAATGGATGATTTTTCCCAAGACAGTGTTGTTGATTATTCCAGTGTTGATTCTCTGTTGGCGATTTGAATTTCATTTCTATGAATGACCAGCAAACACACTGTCCCCGGCTTGCTACTCTTTAGTGGCAAATTTTGTTTACCGGCGACAGCAAGAAATCGGCTAGAGTTTTATTTATTTATTAATTATTACTATTAGTAGTATATTAGATAATTTATTTGTTTTAGAATCTCCGTGAAAGTGAAGAGTGGAGTTTATTATAGAAAACTATTTTATTTTTTTAGAATAAGTAGAGATGGCCTTGGAAAGAGTTGTATCATAAAAAGAACTCTACGGAGACTTTAAATGAGAATCTTATAATCTTTAGTGAAATTCAGTTGTTCTAGTATCTTTTTCTTATTATGTTATTTTTATTTAAATACTATTTATAATTAATTCTAATAAGGAATAGTTTTAATGAGTATGCTAAATTGAATTTTTATTTAACAGGTAGGTGAATCATGTATTAGATTTTGAATCCATTTGAATATACTTACTCTTTCTATCTCAATTTATATGACTTATTTTCCTATTTAATATGTCCAAAAAAAAAAAAACAAATTTCTATATTTAAGAACAATTTAACTCTAAAATATTCATTTTATCATCAATGAAATGAATTCTAATCATTTTAGACTACAAATTTTAAAACTCTTTTTATATTAAAAGGAGGAAGTATGATATTGCCAAAGTGGCATTCTCTTTGCCACATACCATTAAGCGTGATTTGCGGGTATTTTTTGAATTGACCGGGTCAAGTTTTATGTGCTTTAGCTTAACCCGTGTGAAGCTAAAAACATCTATTGTTTGTGATAAGCACTAAACAGAAAAGTTTTTTTGTTATCTTTTGTGGAATTTGAATATCAAAATGAGTATAATGCACCACTTAAAACGTGTTGTTTTTCCACATTTGTACCAAAGAAGTAGCGGCAGGAGATTATGACGACAATAATCTAAGCTAATTATTATCATTATTATTATTATTATAATAGCAATTAATGTGGGCAATAATTAGAAGAGACAAGAATTCTTGGCCAACTAATAAAATAAATAAATGAAAATGATATTTTCAGATCTTTTCTGTTTTTTAGGTATTAAAATTAAAATCTTAAAAATAACAAAAAACTGATTATTATTTTTGTAAGTGACCTACTAATCTAATAATTATGATATCATATTTGGCCAAACTTATTATTTTTCTAAAAGTGTTTATGAATTCTAAAAAGTGCTTATTTATAAAAAGTGAGATATTTGATCAATTTGGGAAAACAAGTATTTTTGGAAAGTAGCATACCAAACGCAAATTGATTCCCACAAAAAATAATTTCTTAAAAAGCAATTTTTTGAAAATCATTTAATTTTTATTTTGTTTTAAAATTTTGGTTAAACAGACTATGAGATTGTTATTTATGTTAATTCACTTGAGAATTTGATTGTGGGATAAATAGTTTTCACATATCATTAGTATAATAATTTAGCTCAATACATTGATAATTTTGTAGTCCTTTTTAAGTCCCTTTTAACCCCATTTACATGTTTTTTTTAATTTTTGTTATTAAAATTAAATACTTATCATTTTAACGTCATATTTAACTTCTTTCTTAATATGTTATCAAATGTGAATGTGACAGTGACAAGAAGAAAATTTAAACAATTAAATACTTCTTAATTCTTATCCTTAATTTGCCATTAACAACGTAAATGTGTAATAATGTAGTTGAAGTACATTTAGGGGACAAACAGGACCAAATTATTACAACATATATGTACGATAATATAGACTTGATCCAATGTCCTCAATATACATCCAACGACCAGATATTTCACTTATACAAGTATATATATATATATATATATATATGGTGAAACACAATTTAGCATATTAGCATCTAAATCTGCAACAAATAATGACATTCCAGTTAAATTCATGAGTCTCAATCAGGCCTTGCCATCTGTCCTGCCTTGATAATTATTTTCATAAAATGATTTGGCCATGTCCTACCCTTTCATTCTGTCCTGCTCTGTCCGGTCCTGTATCACCACAATCGTCATTCTTATACCTCATTTTATTTGTAAAAAGTTGAACTATATAGTTTTTTAAACCAAATATGATATCTTTCTTAAGCTACGAATTAAGTGCCAATTTGGATTTTTGAATTGATTTATTTTTAAGTGATTCTAAGCTAAAATAATTTTAATTTTTTTTATAGTATTTGAATTAAATAAATATTAGTATCAATTTTGCTTTTGTGTCCTTTATTTGAGTTTTCATCAACCTAAGCTTAGTGGTAGCTAGCCTTATTAACTTCCAATAAATATTTGTAATCTTCAATAACAACTCTAAGTGAAATCATAAGTTTATTAAATATCCTTTCGCCAAAACATTACATCATAGATAATAAAATATTGTTGAATCCCCTTAATTGACTTCTTTGTTCCTTTATTTTTTTTTTAAAAAAAAATTAAATCCCTCTAGTGAAAAATCACAACTCCATCATTATGCGATATTATATATCATCTTTATTGATAAGCTTTACGATCAGTAGACTAGACTGTCTATCCTACTCCTAAAACATAAACTTATTGTTGGAAAAAATCCTTTTCATACCTTATGTTTATGTGGAAACACAAGTTTAATTTAATCAAGAATTTACACTAAGCTGGCTCAGAAAAGATCCATTGCATTTGGTGGACAAGTCAATTCTTACACACACACTTATATATATATATATATGGATACCTCATTGCCTACTCTCCTTTCTTTTTCGTTTAAAAAATACGACAAATTTAGCAGAAATTAAGAGATAAAGTCATGTCCAAAAAGTGAGATATTAAAATAAAAATAATAATAAGATAGTAGTACAATAATTAATTGTGTCAATAGTACCTTATGTTCTCACAAACGCAAAAATCGACAAAAAAATAAAAATTAGTTATGCCTCAATTTTATTGACAAAACCCCAGAATACATGGAAAATAAAGTAGAGCGACAGTTCCAAAGTTTATAATCAGCCAATTATACATGCAACTTTGACCATAACTAACAAAAGTCAACCATGTCTTCTTTTTTTTCTTGGTCAATGAGAAAAGAAAATGTTGCTTTCTTTATTTATTTATTTCAAATTTTTGTGTGTGAAAGGGAATAAATTAGAGTATTAACATATTTCCCACAAGCTAAAGGTCTAATAAAAAAGTTTGAGACAAATAAAATTTATGTGTGAGCCATGAGTCATAAGCCACCAGACATACAAAATAAAAGGGCCAATTTTTTTGCAATTAAGCCACCATATTAGGACCCTCACAAATTATATGTCTATATTTGCAGACAATCTCGAGGAAAAGATATCTTTGAATCCACTTTATAATATTCTATTATCAGCAGATTAACATAAGTTATTTTCTCCAAATTGAGAATTATAAAGATGTTTTTTATTAGGGTGGACACACGTCTCTTACTATATAATTAATGGAAATTTTACACAAACTCTATAGGACTACTATATTATATTTCTACTCTTTTTCAAATTAAAAATCCCTTACATTTGGAGGAAATCGGATACATTCCAAGATGTCCTAGTTTAATATACATCCATCAACGTCTCAATTCAATGCGTATTGATTTCGAATACATCACTCAATATTTCGATACATAGGGTATGTCCCCGATACTTCGCGTAAAGTGATATATCCGAGAATAGGAGTGAGTAGAAATTTTTGTAATTTTTTCAAATGGTAGAAAATTTTAGAGAACATGGTAAACTAAGTCATATATTTAGTAAATTTTTCCTATAATTAATTCGTATTAAAATCCGATAAAATTCAAATTCACGCATTATACGATTCACTATTTGGAGGTGGAGGGGTGGGGGTTTCCCAACCTACTTTTTTTTCAAAAACCTAAAATCAAAACCTCTAATTAAATATGATTAATTACCGTCACACCAGCCACAATCCATGCTGGTGAAGATAGCCAAATAGGAGTATTTCTTATTAGTGGAGTAATTGGTCTATGAAACTAAAAGAGGAGAGGAAGGGGGAGGGGGGGGGGGGGTGGAGAACCCATTAATTGTTCGTTAATCAAACAAATAATGCTACTTATCTTGACGTAATTTTGGTTGCCTCTAAATAAAAACAATTTGCACATCATATTTGAGAATAAACAAAGTATTTTTGGGTTTTTGGTTATTGTCCATTGAGGGTGTTTACAAGAAAATTAATCAACACAGGTTACGTACTTTTCTATACACCTTTAGGGGCTTAGCATATAGATAAATCTATATTACAATTTTAGCACTATATTGTAACGACCAGTTCCCATCGTTATAGAAATGCCAACGGGGGAAATTTTGGGTTCGAAAAACTTTTTCGTATTATTTGGATTTTCCCAATCTAGTCCAAATTTGGGCGAAATTGGAGTCTTTGAGGTGTAGGAAAATTTGGTAACAATGGGGTCAATGATTTATGATTTCGATATCATGAGTAGTTAGATAACTCGTTAAGGAATCCGTACGACTTTACGAAACTGAATTTGGGCGAGTAGAACTCCCGGAATCGATCTTAGCGAGAAGGGTATTTTCTGAGAGTCGTGGGTTAGAAGTGTGTTGTGAAATGAGGATTTTGGAATTCTTTAAATAGCTCACTGGTTCGTGCAAGCCGCCCTACCAGGGGTTTTGGCCGCTCTAGCGAGGCTGTTACAGCAGGATGAGGACAGCTGTGGCAGGCTCGACGCGATTTAAGGTCATTAATAAACCCCTAAACGATCTTATTATGCACTTTTCGACTTTTAGAATTAAGGAACGAACCTCAGGCGACTCCTACTTATTTTTCACCATTCTTGAGGCTAAAGGTAAGTTTTTCACTCCCCGAATCCGTTTTTCGATCCGTAGAACGTAATGGAATGGGTGAATATTGATGGGGGAGATTTTGTTATACATTCTATGGTGGAAACAACTCTAAATTGGATAATTGGGATCACGGGTATGATCTAGGGTTCATAGAATTGTTAGTAATTCGGGTAATTAGTGATTGTTTATTGATTCCCGTATTATATTGATTGTTTGTAGACCAAGAACAAGCGGAATGAATCTGAAAAGGGAAGGATCAAGTTTCTTAGGGTTT